GGCATGAAAGTAATCAAAGGCTGCATTTAAATCCTATCCATTTAATCAATGATAATTATCCTAACACCATTATTATGATGAACCTAAAAAATAAAAAGTAGTACAAAATCAGTTGCTGGGAAACTGGGGGGAGCTAAATGCAGGGCAAAGCTGGATGATAAATCTGTTAAAGCCTGAAATAATTTAAAACTTGGGGCTAGGTTATTCTGTAAGCAGGGCAAGGACAATGAGGATGACAGTGAGGGAACTGCTAGTGTTAAATTATATTGATGGTTGGAATGGCCCAATTAAAGTCAGAAATAAAACTCAGCATTTGTTGCAAGTCTAGCAAAAAAAAAAAAACATAGACACACAGGTATTTTAAAAGGTCTGTAGTCTATAGATGTCAGAAGTTTCTAAAAAACAGACCACAAAAGACTAGTACCTGTTACTGCAGCAACATTAGCCCATGGATTCTGGTTGCAAATGCATGCATCATTTTTCAGTTGTTACAATTAGGCAACATCTGAAGCAATTGACTGCACTGGACTAGCTGATGGTCTTGTTTTAAGAGGAAAGGGTGATAAAAAAAATGCCCACAAACCTTTTTGTAGTAAAAAGAATAATAAGAAAAGGGTTAATTTCCTTGCATGCCTGTTTTTCTTTCAGTTATAATTAGAAAGGATTTTGAATTGATCTATTAGATAACATCCCAATAAAACAAATAGGTATATGTGACTGTGATGTGAAAAATACAAACAGGAAGTGCATAGTGATATGCATGAATGTGTTCCAGGCACTGTATTGGAACAATAAAAAAGTGTACCTATCATTGTTTCCATTAGCACGTCAGAGTCACAAAGCTGACACTTGCAGGACAAGAAAAGAAGATTACTTTATTATACCATATTATATAACACACTTAAAGCTGTCCTTCCTAGTACAATCTACACTAACAAATTGAGTAAAATCCATTCTCAAGAAGAAAAAAAACAAAGCAGTATGCATACTAACTTCTTCCTGATGAAATACTTATATCTGCAATCTGTAGCTTTTATATCTATTTTCTCATTCATGTGTTCAGAACACATCTGTCAATCTGGCTGGGATGTGTTTCTGCTTTGCAGCGTTCTGAAATTGTCTATGGTATGACAATTTGTGCTGCAGAGTTCTGCTCCCTCAATCCCACCTGAGAGGCCGATAAAGCGTTGATTGAAGACTCGTCAGCCCATTTGATAACACTTAAATCAAAGTTCTGCTCAGGGCGCGTTCGCCTGAGTCGTGAGTCAAAGAGATGTGCTTCACACTGACAACAATCTCAACTTCAGCAACAAAAAGCTGAGCCAGGGACAGTTTGGAGTGGATTTGAAAAGCTTTTAAGTCTGCTTAACTTCAGTATTTTCTGTTGTTAAAGCAATAAGGAATGATTTTTTTTCCCAGTGTCATAGAAAGCAGGTTTAAAAAGTACTTAGAACTTCCTCTATCTGTTTTATATTTTGGGGTATTTTGACACTTGTAAACTTGAATGAGGGGAAAATGTCGAAATGCTGCACTAATTTGCAAAAACATTTCAACAAGCATGACTTGTCCTATGGGAAAATCCCTGATATTTAAATGTGCCATGATGGGTTACTCACCCATCAAGATGCACGACTGACTCTTTCTACTGATTTTATTTTCCTTTAAAACTAAAAAAAAGCTCCTGAAATCAATCCATAGTATTCTTCTGATGAAGAGGATGCTGCATAAATGACCTGCCATGTGTAGTTATTAATTCATTTTAAAAATTCATTTTATTTTTTAATGTCAATGTTCTTCATACTGTCTTTGAAAACTGTAATGGCAGGACAAACATTATGAACCTTGAATGATAAAAGGTCTTTTTTAAGATAAAGGTACATCAAAAATGGTTAATTTGCTTTCTGATGAGGTTCCTTTTTCAAACTAAATGTACCATTTGAAATAAGAGCTTTAGCTCATATGTAACATCTTTTTGATTAAGCCCACAAGTTAGTAACAAAAACAATGTTTAAGGCAGAATGACATAATAATTAAAAGAAGGAAAACAATATTAAAACCCAAGTCTGTGTGAACTCACTTTAAATAATGTGTTTTATTGACCAAAGCATAAATAAAGGGTATACAGAGGGAATGGTGACCTAGTGGTTAGAAGCAGGGTGTTTGTGTCCCAAAACGGAGGCAAGATTGTCAGTTGCAACATCCCTCTGTGTCTCTAAGCTCTTAGCTTCAGTTTGTAGCTTCATGCTACCTTTATCTTTAAAGGGTTGGACAAAAAAGGGATTTTCCTTTCTTTCCTTTGCTAAATTAACTGATATACAGAATTAACTGAACTTTTCAATGATATTCTAATTCATTAAGAAATAGGATATTATAGTATTATATAAGGTTTAATTTCTAACCAGGAATCTGAAATAAACTGTAGGACAATCTGTTACTATGCTAAATCAGCTGTGATCTTACTTTAGGAGCTCCAGTCTAAGATCACTTTTGTTATTTACTATTTATTTTTACATTGCTTGCCTATTTAATATTTTTCTGTCATCTGTTCCTTACATTTTTCAACCGTCACTGAGCTTATTTTTCAGTCCTGGATGCCTCATATATATTAGTGTAACAGTCGTCGTGAGAAAGCTTCACCAAGTTTTTAACAAGTTTTCTAATTTTTCCAGATGTTGGCTCTCAATGCGGTTTGGTGGATGCTAAAAAAACTTTTTTTTTTTCTTTTTTTTTTACTATTTTGCATCGATAGAGGCCAACAACTTTTTTTTCACATTGTTAATTTTCATAAATTGAAGAATAATTAGTTTCTTTTGGAATAAATAGTGCTGTAACCATTTTTTCTCACTACAGTTTTAAAAGATCTTAACTGAATACTTGTTTTTGTATTTTTACAAACAAAAAATGAAGAAGAACAGCCTCCTGCCTTGCAGCCCAAAGGGAGAAAGACTTTATCTGACATTACTAAAAGGACTTTGTTAACTTCTTTTTGTATTAAGGTTCAAACTGATGGCCTTGTCCCACTTTATACCCCTGTGCCCATCTGCTATTTTGTCCCTGAGATCAGATTTTACCCTTAAACATGGTAGTGGATATGCTGAATAAAGGAAAATAGATTTCAAGACATTTTCCCAGCGCATACAAAACAAGCTTTTAGTCAGAAGTGTCTGGGGCATGCTTCATGATTTTCATGCCACCAGGACACAAAACCAGAATCAGGAAATTGTAGGGGATCAAAAGGTTCTGCCCTTAAGGTTTTTCATTATATTTATTTCATTCAGCTGCTTTCGGTGTTTGTTGTTCTTCAAAATATTCAGTAAGTATCAAAAAAAAAAAAAAAAAAAGTATGGGTAAAACATCAAGTATGATGATTAAAGAAGACAGAAATGATTAAAAATCAGAGAGAGAGAAAGAAGCAAATACTGTATGGGCAAATTGAATGTGGGATTTTTAGAGCTGGATCAATGATGAGGTCTATTTTCTAAGCATAAATAAAATAGCAGTATAAAAAAAATACTGGTCTCAAAGTAAAAATAGTGATTATTTGTGAAGTGTAAGAAAAGAGGTTCTTAACGTTTCTTACGAACAGAAATCTGACATTGTTGTGCATTTTTAAACAACCCTACTTTCCTCTCTATTAACCTTCCAAGTCAACAGCAATTACCCAAGATATTCGGAGAAGAGTTGTGGTTATCAAGGAGTCTGTTTCATCCTTTGGAATAATCTCTAGATTCCTTAAGAGGCCTCATTTATCTGTTCAAGTAATAAAATGCTAGCTTTAACGGCACGGCAAGGTCCAGCATTCATTCCTCATAGTAAGTAGAACTGAAGTGGATGATAATTTCTCCCAGAGGTAAAAATATTGTAGTTTAAAAAGTAGTGTAAAAATCCCAAGACAACATCAACAGTCCTTTTGAAGATGTGGGCTAAAGCTGGTACGGTGGGTCATCAATATCATCAACAACTAAAAATCCTGTGCCAACACAGGCTATTTGGCAGGTCAAAGAACCAGAATTTGAATACAATTTAAGACTGCAAGAGCAATCAGGGATAGAGTTTCATTTAAAAAAGATATGTCTAATGAAGCTTAAAACTTATAAATTTGACTAAATACTAATATTGCAATCTGAGACAAGACTTAGACTTGGACAACTTTTATTGTCATTTTGTATACACAGACTGTATGAATCTGAGAACTCCATCTCAACACTGGAGTATGGGGAGGTGGAGCATCATGGGTGGTCACCTTGCTGCAGGAGGAACTTGTGCACTTAACCAACTATATGACATTGTTGTATATTACAGTATATGGAGATGTTGAAATCTTGAAACAAGTAAGAAAAAGCTTGGGCCCTAGAGGGTCTTTAAATGGACAGTGAATCTAAACTAATTAAATTAATTACTAAGAGTCTTAAGAACCACAAAGTTATTGTTTGAAGTGGCCATCCAAGAGATTTAAACTCAGATAAGGGTCTGTTATGGTGTATTTGAGCCAGGTGGTCATCAAACTCAACTCCATTGGTCCATTTCAGCCAGGAAGAATGGGCCAAAGTTCTAGCAAACTACTGTGTAAACAACAAATGTATAACAAAAATCTTGTAAAATCTAGTTAATAAAGTTTCAAATTACTTCATTAGGATGTGCTACTTTATGCTCATAGCTACAGGAACACATGGCACTGTAGATGCCTAGATATGCTGGAAGTGGCATTTCAAATTTCAGCTGTTCTAATTAGATATGACTTGGTTTAATTGAAATTTAATCTGAAGCTTTCTTTTACATGCCGTCAGTATGTCTAACCACATGGGATTTTATCAACCACTTAATTGCTTATCCTTATTTGCTTTGCTGGCGCTGTCACAGGCCCACTGTGCTGTTATCAAATCACCAGAACCTGCAATTAATTTCACGTCGTAACCACCAGCTGTGTAGCATACACAGACCGGCTGTGAAAACAGCATTGACTCCATTCTGGGTTTTTTTTCTCTTTCCTGTTCTTGCAGAACGAGTACACGTGTCCACGCCCCCTACCTGGTGCCTGGCTGGGAGATGTGCCTACGATCCATTAACTCTCAGAACAAGGACTGTTTCAGATGACGCAACACATCAAAGCCCATCCCAGAAGTCTGGCAGGATTTCTCCCTCATCATTCAGATTCAAGGAGACGTTCAAATTGTGCTCCATGCAAATAAATTCAAGGCAACTATCTATACAACAGGAAAGGGGAGAAATTGTGGCATTTTTTTGTTATTTTTAAGATTTTATAATGTGTTTTTTTTTTATTCAGTCTTTGGCATTTCCCATGATGCTCACTTCACAAACACATGCGCTGATGATCGAGGTTTCCTGTTGTGTGGACGACAGCAGAGACTAATGAGAGCCAAGGGATGGATACAATAAAGCTGGCCGCCCACTGCAAAGACCATAACTGCTTATTGTCTCCATAAGGACAACATGGCACCGTACAAAAAATGCAAAGGGACAACTCATTAGTGGAAATGCATAGGACAAGCTGCTCCAACAACCCAGGGGTGTATAATTTAAAAGGGGGTTTGATATTTTCATTTCCTGTAAAACGTCATTATATAATCTTTCAATTTTTTTTTTATTTTATAAAAAAAAGAAAGACTAACCATGAGCTGTGATGGTATCTGCAATGGAGCAGAAAAGGTGTAAAATAAGCAGAGACATTTGCCTTGTCTGGTGGAAATCATGTTGTTTGAAGCATTTTCTCTTGGAGTGTTTTTCTATTTTTTTCCCAAATGAAATTAAAGATGAGAAATCCCTTTCAATTAGAAAAACACAAGAGGGACGGGAACAGATCAAGGACAAAATGTGATTTTCAGAAATTTTGCTGTTGATAATGTTGTATTTTTTTTATGTGTTTGAGCAACAAATACCAAAGAGCCAAATTAATGTTTCTTTGCTTTTGGCTCACCTTAGCATATAGGTGCATCTAAAAAAAATCATCATTACCATTGAAACGTTAATTTGTGTCCCTTCAACTCACAAAATGAAACTCTGGACTTCATGATAGCTTCAATATACTAATTGAAGTGTTTAGTATCACCAAAAGTTAGAATAGTGCATGGGATCAATGTGAAAAGAATTTCTAAAAGAGAAATACTATGGTTTTGCCTTCATGGGGATCATGCTGATTTGTTAGTTGCCCAGCAGATGGTTATAAGCCGCCTCTACAAGAAAAATAAGCCAGAAAAGGTCATTACCAAAGAAGCAGGTTGATTGCAGAGTGCTGCATACAAAGAAATAATTGGGAAGTTTAGTGCAAGGAAAATGTTTCAGACAGCCATGGAGAAGTCGTGAGGCAAAGCCCATTAAAAAGTGTATGGAGAGGGTGTGGATTGTGGGTGCAGTCAGTCCTTTAGGAGTTACCCAACAGACAATCCAAGTAAATGGGCTCAAACTGCAGCATCTGGTTAAGACTGTCCTGATCCAGTAGCAGCACCTTACTTAGATTGAGTATAAGTATTTACTGCATGACATATAATACTTTTTATTAGACTAGGGATGGGATGGTTTATGAAAACCGTCCGAACCGTTCGGTTCGACTGTCTCGGTTCGGTTCGCGTGTGTTGCGTTCGGTTCATGCGCTGCTCCTTTTTTTCATAGGCGACGCGGGTACACTCCAGAGCAGAAGGTGGCGGTACTGCGACCAAAGCCACCAACCAGTAGTAAGCAAGAAGAAGAAGAAGCGAAGCCGCGTAGCCGGGTGTAGCAGAAAAAAATCAGTTGTGGAGAATTGTGTGGGTATGGCGAGTTGGAAGACGCGCCAGCAGCACTTTATAGGTCTGCTGTATGGGACCGCTTTGCATTTAGAGTGACCTACGATGACGGCGGAAAGAAAGTTGTGGATAAAAGTGCAACCGTGTGCAAGCATTGTGCCACACGTTTTGTTCATGCTAACAGCAACATGACCAACATGTCATGCTAACCCCGAAATCCCACATACTCCGTCAGCGCTCCGCCCTGCTGCGCACCAGACCGCCTGCACAAAGCAAAGCCTACAGCCTCCACTGTGGCTCCCGTCCGCTCCGGTCTGAGTTCCTTGGAGATCGTAGAGGGCATGAGCGAGATGATTAAATTCAAAGCAGCAAAATATGCGGAAATGATCCAGGGTTTCCGCGGATCATTAAAAAATATTACAATCCATACATTCTTTTTTTTTTTTTTTCATAAATTTTTATGGGATTTTGGTGTAACAATCAACATATACCGAACCGAAAACCATGGCCACGAAACTGTGAATCGAACCGAACCGTGGATTTTGTGAACCGTTACCACTACCCCTATATTAGACTGATTTTTAAACAAAATGTTGTTGTTTTTTACTTTATCAATATATTAGTATTAATCATTTATTTGGTGTTCCATTAGGCCTGTGTTAGAATAATTAAAATGAACATAAAATATCTGGAATCCTCGAAAGACAGCGGGTATTCATGTTGCTTGTGCTATCTTTTTTTTTTTTTTACTTGATTTTTTTCTCTCCACCAACCTTACCACTAATGTTTTTGGATACAGCACTCTGTAAGCAGCCAGTTTCTGTTTGTACTTGCCCTCACTTGACTAGAAGAAAAGAATGGGTATTATACCTAGTGGTTTTGCCAGCCAAACATAAAGTATCTGTATTGACCTTTTCCTTTGGTTTTATACAAGTCTTGATTTCCACAGCAACTAGATTTTCTTTTAGTAAATCTACACAGCATGAGTTTCAGTTTTTAAATTGCATTGGTTTAAATTAACTTTTCGATTATAGTGTAACTTTTTTAGATGCACCTATAGTTCCTAACAAATCTGGGATTTGTTGTCTTTACATATTAAATATCAAAAGAGGCCTCAATTCCTTTCAGGTCCAGCAGTGCTCTGCTGCAAACGCCGCTTTTCTTCTTTCTCCCCCTTTTTCTTTTCATCATGTGTGCAACGTGTACGTCTTTGTGAATAAATGACCTTGCAGCGGCAGGAAGATATTGTCGGGATGATAACTCAGCACTACTTTACATTGTAAAACTTTTCTTAAAACAGAACAAACTAAGAAAAAAAAAATGCTTTCCTTGAAAACATCCACCCTGCTCGCCCCCCTTAAGGAGACTGCATAATGTTGCTGTGCACGGTTTTGCGTGGGCTTGTGTTTTATCATTTGATTTAGTTTTTCACTGTATTTGGAACACACTGAGTTGTCAATTGTTTTCAACTGTAAACATACTCTTTCTACACAAGGAAAATAGTACTTTTTTAATGTAAATCTCTGCCCTCAACCCTCTTGCTTATGTCTGCTGCCAATAAGCAGCGGTATTCTTTGTTCACTTTTAACAGTATGTTTTATAATTAAAATGATGACTTCACTGGTGAGCAATAGTAATTGGTCATATTAAAAATCTCCATTGATCCTTTTCTGTGTTAACTATCCGCATGTTTCTGTTCTCCTCTGTAATTTTCATGACTTATGCTCTTTCGAAAATTTGCTGTGTTCTCCCCACTGATCTCCCATGAAGAGGCTGTCAAATCCACATTAGCCTCATTAATTTAGAGAGCAGAACATTGATCTCTGTTCGACCGTTCTGTTCATGGTCACACTCATGGCGGGACCCACCAGCCCCTATAATTATGCTCTCCGTGTAATGTGTTGCGTGTCACAGGAGGAGGCCACGCTTAGATAATTTGCTCCATGTTTGCTGTTCTTGGAACATGTCAAGCTGTCAGCTCAGAAGGTCCAGATGGCCAATCTGTCCAGCGCGCTCTGTGGTAATTTTTTTGCCTGCTCCTCTCCATCCACAGTGCCTTGTAAAAGTATTCACTCCCCTTGCTTTCTTTTTTCATGCTTAAACCACAGAATGCAATGTATTCTGTTTAGATTTTGTGTCAAGTTAAGACTAAATAAAACATATAATTATGAGATGAAGGGAAAATGAGAAATTGTTTTTAGCATTTTTATAAACAGAATTCTGTAGATTCATTGTTTAGTTTGCTTTACTTTATAATTATAGTATATAGTACAGTATATACAGTAGCAACCATTCAAAATGGCCCTTCCCAGTCAAAGACCAGCTGAATGGCAGCCAAGTTCAACACAACATCTGAAAAGGGAAAGAGTAAAGCAGAAATGTAAACCTGCTAGAAAATGGCCGCCCATCAACATAAAAAGGCCAAGGGAAGGAGAGGATCCTATAGGCTCATTTTAACTTTGAAGAAACTACAAATTCACAGCTTCAAAGGTAATTAGTTACACACATCAAAAGTTTGAGTCTAATAGAAACATGTGATATGTGCAGTGGGTAGCACTTCTTCCTTGCAACAAGAAGGTTGTGGGTTTGATTCCTGGCCCTGGGTTTTTCTGCACGGAGTTTGCATGTTCTCCCTGAGCATACATGGGTTCTCTCTTCCTTCCACAGTCCAAAAACATGACTGGACTGGTGACCTGTCCAGGGTATACGACAGCTGGAGGTGGGCACCAGCACCCCTGGTGACCCTACTTGGGATTAAGTGTGTGGATGGGTAGCAGCATCTTTCTCAAAAAATAATTCATATTTTAATGCATACCCTGAAAATACTTGCAACAGTGAATCTGGAGGATTTCATTTTCCCTCCACTTCACAATTATGCAATACTCTAATTTGAATAAAATAACAAGAAATAACAGTGTTTTATGACCAAGATTCAGGGAGTATGTATGCATCTTTCTGTAGATCTTTTCCTTTATTTCAGTGGTTTATCTTCCTTCCATTTCACTCCATTTGACTTTTACCTTTTTTCATAACATGATTTTTTTCTGCTCTCACTTTAATGCTCTCCCTCGTTCCTATCAGTGTGAAAGGGCAATTTCACTAACATCACTAGAGATTTTCCATTGTTTCACCATCTACCCAAGAAAATTGCTTCACTTTTAGCCTATAAAATAGTGGACATTTTTCATAAAAACTGTAATAAAAAGTATGTTTTATTATAGGTCTGTCAGATTGCAGTAGTTTGAGCTGAAAGTACCTCAACACGCCAGACAGAAGCTTAATGTTTGTTTCAAGGTTATAAAGTTCGGCTCCCACACTGAAGCAAAAGCTTAAAAGAATTTCTAAAACCTTTGTTGCTAAGGGCTTTGATAAAAAAATTAGCTCAGATTTAAAAAAAAAACCAACAACACTGAAGTCTTTGAATAACTCATAGTACTGAAGATTGCATGTTTATTTAAACGTATCTTAAGAATTTGTTTTTCAATAAATCCAACATCTAGGCAGAGGTATCAAAAGCAATTGTGTGTATTACTGAAGCAGAAATAGAAATCCTACTGTTTAAAAACACTTGTAGAAGTTAGAGTATCAGCCTAAGTTTTTAACTCAAGTAAAGGGGTAAAAGTACCGGTTTTGAAGCTACTTAAAGTAAAAAAGTAAAAGTAATGCAGGAAATAATGTAAACAGAGCAAAAAATTTAAATCTAAATAAGTTTTTTTTTTTTCTTAAAATAAGTGCATGAGGAGGGAATTGAGACACTTTACCCATGGAACAAGACAATTTACATTTAGAATAAGAAAAAATTTCAAGTGCATATTATCTAATTTTGATCATTGGCTACTTACTGTATTTTCTGGACTGTACATTGCACCTAACTATAAGGCGCTCTAATTTCTTTTTGTACAATCTACACCGGGCTATAACCCGCCAATATCTACTCAACTATCTCCCACCAATTCTGTGCAGGGAGCTTGCTTGCTGATAGCATGTTCTTGTGCTAAAATGAAAATTAGCACCTTATTCTTTCATTTCCAACGTTGACTTTCCCCTCTTGTTGTTAGGAAAGATCCACAAAAAAACGGCACCTTCTTATAAGCCGCACGTTTCAAATCCTGGGGAAAAAGCAGCGGCTTATAGTCCATAAAATACTGTAATTTTTTTATAACTTATGGCAACAGTTTCAAATAGGACTTAGTATCATCTTAAAAAACGATTTATTTTAGTACGTGGAACAACAAATTTGTGCAGCACTGAGTCCAACCACAAATAAATTAATTGTCAGGATACAACAAATTATTTTGGTGGTTTTTAATTTTAAAATACCAACAGGCCATAACAAAAATGCTTAATGAGCTTAAATAGATAGAAAAAATAAAAAACTAACAAGTCTACTTTCTAAATGTAAGATATGGAGAGTAGATATAACTGGAAAAAAATGTAAGGAGCAGAAGCAAGCAAGTAAGGCAACAAAGGATTTGTACTTAACTTGACTCTTCTTAACTTGCAAGTAACTTGACACCTCTGTATCTAGGCATGTAGACTGCTTCTAAAAAAAGATTGCAGAAAAGTTGATTGCTTTAAAATTCCTCAGAATTTCTAGTGATATTATGTGATGACACCTTCTCAAAAAGTCCAGTCAGAAGATTTCCTCAAAGATAAATATTCCAGATTTAAACATTTGTATTATAATGGAACACAGTAACTTAGAAGCGGCCATAGAAGATCCTAGAGGTCTGAAGGAACTGAGGATCATAGTGCATAGAGGTCACCCATGGTCTGCAAAATCTATTTCAGTGGATCTATAACATTAATGTGGCCTACAAATTAGCTCCAGTTTCCGTAGGTGATATATCTGCAAAAAGCCACTAAGTTAGTCTTTAATCCAGTAAGTATTTAGATAGAGAACTTGCACAAAGTCC